CAACGTAGCAGATGTTCTAAATGACTTTTATGTTTATGTCAATATTATTGCTATAGAGGCTCTGGACCGGACGGGTGTAAGATGTGCGTTGGTCGACGCGTTGGCCTTACGAAGAAGGAGAAAAACGCGAAGAGAACACGTGAATTCATATGCATAAGTCATGGACGGCGACGTTTTACGCTCTGAATGGTGATTCCTGCTTTTGTGTTCGGTTCTGGACCTCACATGTTGTCGTACCGGAAAATTTCCTTCCTGTACGGCGGTCACAGGAGGTATCTACGTCGACTTGTATGCAAACCAATTACACCTAGGGATCATATGGCGGTTGCATTGCACGTTTCTTGGCCGCAGCCAGCAGCAAACTCAAATGGAGTTGGGCCATTTGCCCAGAGGCTGCCGCATGGACGACAAGCCAGGCTAACGCAGCTGACGTTCATGAGTGCCCTTTAGGTTCTAAGTATAAAAGCTAGAATAACCCGTACTTTACATTCTGCGTTAAGTACTACCGGTAAGGCGCGACCAATATTCACGAGAGATCCCGGGATCGAGCCACGGTAATATGGTGTGCAATCTCAAGCCGTAACGATGCAATAATAGAGGTAATGCGGATGTCGCGCGGTCGATTAAGGCAGTGACTTGTATATCTAAAGGGTGATTCGAAAGAAAAGCCTATTATGCGATGCCTGTACAGGTCCTATTATAGGGAATTATGTATACTTGCGTCTATATAGGCAATATCGTTTACAACATCGAGTGTATACATACCTGTATACCGCATAGCCTAAACATCCCTTGCTACAGGTTATGATGTAAAAATGTACTTATAATACTATGCCAAAAATGATCGTATATTAGGCCATCACTTACACATGCGCCTCTTATGCCTAAGCCTTTAAGTCTCGTATAATACGTGTACACCTTACGGGCCTATATACCTTTCACCTATTTTCCCGAATATCTCGCCTATACAATGCCCGAAAAAATACAGACGCATGACCCCCACCAGTCATATCCTGCACTTGGCTTATACAAACTATGAACTGTTCCATGACCGGATCCATGACTTAATGACAAATTATGATCGGATCCAAGACCACATACATAACCAAATCCATGACTGGAAAACCCGTCCATGACCAAGTCGTTCCCAGAGTGATGGAATAGCACGTGTCCACCTTCGAGCAGCTTTGGTGCAGTTGATGCAATCCAGGGGCGCTCGTTCAAGTGCACCAGGTGCAGCAGTCTATCTAATACTTTACCTCGTCTCTTGATATGAACTCTAGTTACAGTGTGCGCTTAGGTATACAATTTCGATCGATGCATGATCACGGATGGTTGAATGCAGGAGCCCTAGCCTACGTACGTATCAGTGTTTTTTTTTTAATTTTGCCCGTCAATTTTTCCGTCCAAAAGGAGGAATAAGATTTATGGTCGCGGGAATAAAAGTATTCCTGGGGCTCCGGCCCCCCCCCGCCGGTGAGTTACAGTTTAGTTCGTACAAACGCCGGGTTTGGGGAATGTCGCAACACACACACACCACAATCTCTCCAGAGAGGTGTCTCTTGCACG